TACAGGAGACAATAAGTTCATCAATGAGGGAGCCTTGGAATGTATTCCTAGGATGGTCAATCAGGATCAGAATGACAGCCTCACAGCTATGCCCACTCTGGCAGAATTGAAAGAAGTAGTGTTCTCTATGAACCTTAACTCTGCAGCTGGTACGGATGGGATGAATGGTCATTTTTTCCAGAAATGTTGGCCTATTATCAAGCATGATCTCCTTGGAGTCATTCAAGCATTCTTTTGTGGTCATATAATTCCCAAATATTTTTCTCATTCCTGTATTGTGCTGCTCCCTAAGGTGAACAACCCCAATAACTCACTGAATTCAGGTCCCATTAGTCTTAGTAACTTTACTAGTAAAATTATCTCTAAACTAGTAAGTTCTAGACTAGGTCTTTTGCTACCTAATTTGGTTTCCCTCAACCAATCCGGCTTTGTCAAAGGGAGAAGTATATCTGAGAACATCATGTTAGCTCAAGAGATTATTCATCAGATTAAGAAACCAAATATTGGTAGCAATGTTATTATTAAGTTGGACATGGCTAAAGCATACGACAGGGTCTCTTGGTCCTATACTTGCTTGGTATTGAGAAGAATGGGTTTTGATGAAGTTTTTATTGATATGGTTTGGAGGATCACTAACAATTGGTACTCTATTATTGTCAATGCCAAAAGACATGGCTTCTTTCAATCCACTAGAGGCCTCAAGCAAGGGGATCCTCTATCCCCTGCCCTATTTATTTTAGGAGCAGAGGTCCTTTCTAGATCCTTGAACAGACTTCACGACAATCCTGAATATCATGGTTTTTCCATGGAAATCAGAGGTCCCCAAGTGAATCATTTGAGCTTTGCAGATGATATCATTCTCTTCACTTCTGGAAGACAGAAAACTTTGAAGCTCATCATGAAGACTCTGAATTCATATGAGGAGACCTCAGGCTAGCTTGTTAACACAGACAAAAGTCAATTTATGGTTCACTCTTGTGCCTTCAATAGTATACTGACTTTGATTGATGTTATATGAACAATTATGGATGAATTCATGTTTTATTGGTGTTTTCTTGAAGAATTCCCCATGAGACCCATGTTTATCCTTCTTTATTTATTTTTCAGATCTAATTAACAAATTTTTATGTAGGATCACAGGTTGGCAAACTCGATTATTAAGCTATGGTGGTAGAGCAATATTGGTCAAGCATGTGTTGCAATCTTTACCTATTCACCTTCTGTCAGCAGTGACTCCTCCAGTTACTGTCCTCAAGCAGATACAAAGTATCATGGCTGACTTTTTATGGGGGTGGAGGAACGAGAAGGAAAAATATCATTGGGCGTCATGGAAGAACTTAAGCTTTCCATATGATGAGGGGGGTGTGGGAATGAGGAATCTTAAAGATGTCTGCATGGCCTTTCAATATAAACAATGGTGGATTTTTAGGTCCAAACAAACACTTTGGGGAGATTTTTTGAGAGCTAAATACTGTCAAAGTTATCCTATTAGTAAAAAATGGGATACAGGTGAATCTCGGACTTGGAAATATCTTATGCATAACAAACACAAAGTAGAAGCACACATTCAATGGACTCTCAACTTGGGCAGCTGCACTTTTTGGTGGGATAATTGGCTTGGTGTTGGACCCCTTGCTCAGTTTTCTGCTGACAGTAACAGATTCAACAATACTACTGTAGCAGAATTTTGGCATGAGTGGCAGTGGAATTGGAATATGCTCATCCAACAGGTACCCAGCTGTCAATTAACCAACATCCTATCCACAGAACTACACATTCAACAAGATCTCCCAGACCAGGCTATCTGGACACTCAACACTGATAGCAAATTCAGCTGCTCCTCGGCATGGAATGATATAAGGGAGAAGAGGATCAAGACTCGATTCAACTCATTTATTTGGCACAAGAGTATCCCTTTTAAATCTTCTTTTCTTTGTGGAGAACCTTAAGAGGTAAAATTCCAACTAACGAGAAACTAACCAGTTTTGGCAATGAACCAGCCAACTGTTTTTGTTGTTATAACAGGTCAGGTATGGATACAATCGAGCACACCTTCAGCAATGGACACTTTGCTTCCTACGTGTGGAAAAGCTTTGCTGCAATTGCTGGAATCACCACAGACCACAGCTCCCTACTCCAACTCATCAGGCAATGGTGGTCAGCTAAATACAATAATGAAGCACATAGGCTGTTATTACGGGCTACACCAATATTCATTTGTTGGAACCTATGAAAAAATATATGTGCTAGCAAATATGGAGGCAAGCAATCCAATGTTAGTAGAGTTAAATATGCAATCTACAAGGACAATTATAAGCTCATGACTACAACCTTCCCCCACATCAGCTGGCCTTCGAACTGGAGGGACCTGATAGAACTTGGGGGAAAATGTGAGCATGATACCAAGGTGACCCTTGTTAGATGGATAAAACCTCCAAATCAGTGGGTAAAGATCAACACAGACGGCAATGCATTAAGTAATCCCAGCAGAACTGGTGCAGGAGGTATCTTGAGGGATCAAGACGGAGAAATGTTGATAGCATTTACCACTCCATTAGGGGAAGGTACTAACAACCAAGCTGAAGTAGAAGCAGCTATCTTCGGAATGACATGGTCCTTAGAATTAGGATACAGGAACGTTCTGTTGGAGGTGGATTCACAACTTCTGGTGGATTGGATAAGGCACAAAACCAACCCTCATTGGAGCATCAATACACAGATAATGAAGCTACAGGCCCTCATTAAACAAACTCACGAGTTCAGATGCAAGCACACCTTTAGGGAAGCCAACTTTGTGGCTGATTCCCTTTCAAAGCACAGCCACAAGATTACTAGTCCTCAACTTTATTTCAATCGCAATCAATTACCAAAGGAAGCAAGAGTGTACTATCAACTAGAAAAGCTTGAAATGGCAAGCTTCAGACGAAGGAGGATTAAGAAGATCAAAGAACCTCCCTGAGTAATTTGCAACCTTTTCAACTTAGCTATAATTTAAAATTATAGCTCTTTTGAATAGGCTTTTATTTAGGTTGTTTTGTTTATTTTTGTAAGGGGAGAGTGTCCCTTGTTTATGATTCCTAGATGCTATGTATTGAGAGGAGTCCTCTCTCTTAGGTACTTAGTCTCTTGGTTTATCTTTGTTGTAAGGGGATGAGTTGAATTTCCCTTGTGGAATGTCAACTACTGAACCACCATAGGATCGGAGGTTAGGTTTACGCTCCTTGTATTTTGCTTGTTTCATTTATGCTAAGACCTGGGGGTGTTGCTAAGCCCCTGACCCCTCCAAGGGTCTCTTTAAAAAAACAAAAAAAAAAACCAAAAACCCTAAACCATTAACCCTACACCTAAACCTACAACCCCAAACTCTAAACCCTAAAACCTAAACCCTAAACCCAAAACCCAAAACCCTAAACCCTAAAACCAAAACCCTAAACCCTAAAACCTAAACCTAAACTGTAACCCGTAAACCCTAAGTCTTAAACTAAAAACCCTAAACCGTAAACCATAAACCATAAAACCTAAACCCTAAATCCAAAACCTTCAACTCTAAAGCCTAAACCCTAAGCCATAAACCCTAAACCCTAAACTCCAAACCCTAAACGATAAACCTAAAACCCCAAATTCTAAACCCTAAACCCTAAACTGTACAACCTAAACCTAACTTTAAACACTAAACCCAAACCGCAAACCCTAAACCCTAAATACTAAATTGAAAACCCAAAACCCTAAATCCTAAACTCAAATCCCTAAACCATAAACCCTAAATTGTAAACTCTAAACCCTAAACCCAAAACGTTGAACCCTAACCTTAAACCCTAAATCCTAAATCCTAAACGCTAAACGTTAAATCATATACCCTAAACCTGTTAACCTTATCCCTAAATCCAAAACTCTAAACCCTAAATCCCAAACTCAAAACACTATGCCCTAAACCCTAATCTGTAAACCCTAAACCCCAAACCGTAAACCCTAAACCCTAACCTCTAAACACTAAACCCAGAAACCCTAAACTGTAAACCCTAAACCCTAACCTCTAAACATTAAACCCGTAAACCCTAAACCTTAAATTCTAAACCCTAAATCCCTTAACCAAAAACCTTAAACCCTAAACCATAAACCTTAAACCCAAACCCCTAACCTCTAAACCCTAAACCCTTAAATCCAAAATCTGAAAACCTAAACCCTAAAACCTAAACCATAAACCTAAACCCTAAACACTAAACCCTAAACCCTAAACCTTGTACCCTTAACCCTAAACCCTAAATCATCAATTGTAAACCCAAAACCCTAACACTAAACCCTAAACCCTAAATGCTAAACCCTAAACCCTAATTCCTAAACTCTAATCCCTAAACCCCAACGCTAAACCCAAAACCTTAAACCCTAAAATATAATCCCTCAACCCTAAACTTTAGCCCTAAACCATTCATCCTAAACCCTAAACCTAAACCCTATACTTTAAACCTTAAACTAAAAACCATAAACCCTAAACCCTAACACTAAACCCTAAATCATAAATCCTTTACCCTAAACCAAAAACCAAAAACCCTTACCCGGCACTTTAAACCCTAATCCCTAACCAATAAATCCTAAACCCTAAATCCTAAACCCAAAGACATTCTTTTAATGCTTAATTCTGTTTTTCCATATCTTCATCTGCCTGTAATATGGCCAGAAGTCGTGACTTACATTGAAAAATGCAAACAGGATTTAAGAATTACTTTAGTTATGTGGAAGATTCCTACTTACAATAGATACAAGTTGAATACAGATGGTAGTGCTATACCTAATCCGGGGAAAATTGGAGGGGGAGGCATTTTAAGAGATGATCAAGGGAGTATGGTATATGCCTTTGCAGTACCTCTTGGTCAAGGGACTAATAATCAGGTTGAGATTCAGGCTGCAAGGACTAATAATCAGGCTGAGATTCAGGCTGCAGTTTTTGGCTTAAATTGGTGTATACAACATGGTTATAATAGTATTATCTTAGAGGTTGATTCTGAATTATTGACTAAGTGGTTTTTGCAGGTCGTTAATCCCCCTTGGAGGATACACAAGTATATACAGGAATTGCATATTTTAGCTAACCAATGTGTGTCTTTTCAATGTGTGCACACATACAGGGAGGCAAACGGTACAGCTGATCTCTTGGCCAAACATAGTCATCAGCAAGACATTGTACAAAATTACTACACTCATCATCAATTACCTCAGACAATTAAAGGAATTATCTATTGGAGAAACTGTGAGTTAAAAATTTTAGACGTAAGAAGTTGAAAATAATTAAACAACCTCAAGGATCCCAAGCTTTAATTCCGGATTCAAGATTCAATCTCAAGCAATTCTCCATTCCAATCTTCATCAAGAATTCTCCAAAGTTGAGGTATGTGGGTTGATTGTGGAAACCTTCCTTTCCACAAGTCCAACCATTTATCCTCTATTTTACTTCAAGTTTATGGGTCCTTATGATCATTTATGAACTCTTGAATTATGGAATTATTACTACACATCCTATTATGGTCTATTTTTGTATATTATCATGAAATGGAATGATTATATGATGTTTATGGTTTTCATGCCTCAATGATCAAATTATGAAGGTTGTTATATATGTATATATATATGTATGTTGTTGGTGGGCTGATATATATGTATTTCGGAATTGGTTGGACTTAGTACTCTTGAAACACATGATTTTATTTACATGAACAAGTAGCCCACCATATGTTTGATAAAATGCCATTTATAGAATTCTTATGAAATGGAAGGTCCAATGTACGTCCTATGAGTCGGATGATTATATAAGTATTGAAATGATGATGAAATGGATACATGTATATGATTTTCTCTATATACGTGTTGTGAGTCGACCAAGCCTAGTACGGGGGGTAGTAGGCCCGTATAACCGTATCGAGGGGTTGGTACCTTGGTTGCCTAGTACGGGGGGTAGTAGGCCCGTATAACCGTATCGAGGGGTTGGTACCTTGGTTGCCTAGTACGGGGGGTAGTAGGCCCGTATAACCGTATCGAGGGGTTGGTACCTTGGTTGCCTAGTACGGGGGGTAGTAGGCCCGTATAACCGTATCGAGGGGTTGGTACCTTGGTTGCCTAGTACGGGGGGTAGTAGGCCCGTATAACCGTATCGAGGGGTTGGTACCTTGGTTGCCTAGTACGGGGGGTAGTAGGCCCGTATAACCGTATCGAGGGGTTGGTACCTTGGTTGCCTAGTACGGGGGGTAGTAGGCCCGTATAACCGTATCGAGGGGTTGGTACCTTGGTTGCCTAGTACGGGGGGTAGTAGGCCCGTATAACCGTATCGAGGGGTTGGTACCTTGGTTGCCTAGTACGGGGGGTAGTAGGCCCGTATAACCGTATCGAGGGGTTGGTACCTTGGTTGCCTAGTACGGGGGGTAGTAGGCCCGTATAACCGTATCGAGGGGTTGGTACCTTGGTTGCCTAGTACGGGGGGTAGTAGGCCCGTATAACCGTATCGAGGGGTTGGTACCTTGGTTGCCTAGTACGGGGGGTAGTAGGCCCGTATAACCGTATCGAGGGGTTGGTACCTTGGTTGCCTAGTACGGGGGGTAGTAGGCCCGTATAACCGTATCGAGGGGTTGGTACCTTGGTTGCCTAGTACGGGGGGTAGTAGGCCCGTATAACCGTATCGAGGGGTTGGTACCTTGGTTGCCTAGTACGGGGGGTAGTAGGCCCGTATAACCGTATCGAGGGGTTGGTACCTTGGTTGCCTAGTACGGGGGGTAGTAGGCCCGTATAACCGTATCGAGGGGTTGGTACCTTGGTTGCCTAGTACGGGGGGTAGTAGGCCCGTATAACCGTATCGAGGGGTTGGTACCTTGGTTGCCTAGTACGGGGGGTAGTAGGCCCGTATAACCGTATCGAGGGGTTGGTACCTTGGTTGCCTAGTACGGGGGGTAGTAGGCCCGTATAACCGTATCGAGGGGTTGGTACCTTGGTTGCCTAGTACGGGGGGTAGTAGGCCCGTATAACCATATCGAGGGGTTTGTACCTTGGTCCCTAGCTCGGGGGGTGGTAGGCCCGGGTAACCACATTGAGGGGTTTGTACCTCTTTCGCCTCTCCAAGGGGGTGGTAGGCCTTGAAAATACTATATTGATGGTCACTCACCACACTTGTGCTACGTCCCACTAAATATGATTTTTATGTAAGCGTCATTATATATATATCGTTTCATTAATGTGCTATCTAACGGGTATTATTATGCATTTTCCTACGATGTCCATCTATGGTAGCATTGCATTGCATCCCATATACTTAGTACATTCAAATGTACTAACGCATACTCTATGCCTACATGATGTCACCATGTAGGGACCGGAGCACCGCTTGACCATCCTCCTCCGCGTGGCTAATACGATTTTCTATCAAGGTTATTGGTGAGTCCTCCATTCCGGGGACGTTGCTCATGATCTTTTGCTATGTATAAGACTTTTTCTTTTTAGTTATGTTTTGTCTATGAGGGTGAGCCCGGTAGTTTGTCTTGGCCCCCGCTAAGTACTCATGTTTAGAGGTGGTGTTGGACAAGTTGTGTATTATGCTTGAGCTTGACTCATCTATGGTATTTTTGTATCATTCTTATTTTTGTTTCTCTTGTTCCCTTAGTCCCGATTTCCCCCTTGATTATGCTTATCGCTTATGGTCATTTTATTTGCTTCCGCGGCCAAGGATGTGTAATGATACGCTATGAGGCTTGTTTGGGGTTCCTTCGGGTTCCCCATTCGCCGGTCACGTCTAGGCCCTAGGCTTGGGTCGTGACAAACTTGGTATCAGAGCACTAGGTTGATAGATCCTCGGAGTCCAACACACCGCGTTGATTAGAGTCCGATTCATGGTTGTGTTGTGCACCACAACTATGAGTAGGAGGCTATGAGACGTTTTAGGAAATGTTTCACTTCTTCATTCTCTAAGTCGTGCCATAGATCTATAAGCTCTCTCTCTTATTCCTTGTCTTATGGCGTTTAAAGTTGGACCACTTGAAGGGTTCTTGCTAGAAGGAGCGAGTGGTTGTAATGCCAATTATGGCTATGTGACTTGTGAGCTTTGAATAGATTGTGAAGTTGTATTTTGTGTGATTAATGCTTCATAATTGTCTGTGTTGGTTAGAAGAACTTGTGTAGGCTTACTCCAAAGGGGGAGATAGTGTGCCTACCTAGCAAGGTAATTGTGAGGTTATGTTTAGTTGATGGTAGAACCCGTATGGTCAAATTGTTGATTCCCAAAGGAGCCTATCCGAGAGTGGAGATGGGAAAAGAAATTATATGCCCTAGGTTGGGATTATGTTGTGTTTTGAAGTTGACTTTGAGGGTTGCATGTACCATCTAGTTAAGGTGAAGAATAAGAAGTATAAGTGTTGACCAACTTCAAAGGGTTAGTTGTTGTATTTTAAGATTGATCTTGATGTTTATACTTTGATTGATCCGGGTGCCACCCTTTCCTTTGTTACCCCCTTAGTTGCTAGAAAATTTCATGTCAAGTCGGAATTGTTGCATGAGTCATATGAAATATCTACTCCCATTGGTGTCTCTATTGTTGCTAGAAAAGTGTATAGAAATTGTCCGGTTTGCATATTGAATAAGTTGTTGCCTTGCGATCTTGTTGAGTTGAACATGGTGGATTTTGATGTTATTCTTGGGATGGATTGGTTGCATGCATATTATGCTTCTATTGATTGTAGGACTCGTAAAGTCAAGTTCCGATTTCCTAATGAACCCGTCCTTGAGTGGGAGAGCCGGGATGTTGTGGTGAAGGGGAAATTCATTTCTTGCATTAAAGCCCATAGGTTGATTTCCAAAGGGTGCTTGTACCATATTGTGAGAGTCAATGATGTGGAGTCTAAAGTCCCTCCTATTGAGTCTATTCCGGTTGTTAATGAGTTTCTAGATGTCTACCCGTAAGTCTCAAAGAGTGAGTGGTAGTGGATCTTAAGGGTTCCGGTATGTGTTTTATGTTTTATTGAACTGCGGAAATTCCATGGGCCAGAAGTAGAGGAAGATCCTCTAGAGTCTATAAAGGAGTTATCTAAGGTGATGAACCTTGTAGGAGTAATCTTAGTAATACTTGTCTTTCGTGACTTGATAAAGAGAATATCACGAATTTTTTTTTGTGTCGTCCTTAATATTCATGGGTTTAGTTATGGCCATATGTGAGTGATTAGTATAACTCAACTTAGTCCTTATGAGTTTTATGATGTGTTGGATTTTGACGAATAGTGATTCTTAAGTGGTACCTAGAGATGTTGAGTGATTAAGCTCCTTTAAAAGAGGGTAGGAGAGAGATCCTCATTGGTTTGAGAATCATGTTGTGTAATGAGATAGTTTAGGCTTACCCCAATGCGGGATAATGTGCTTAGATGGTAAGGTTATTGAGTGTCCTTGATGTTATGAGATAGGTTTGCTTGAATTCTCACCTTATGTGGTTTAGTGAATTGGAGCAATCTAGACCCGGAGTGGTAGATTCATATGAGATCTTGAGTGATATCCTAGTGACGGCCTTAGAAAAGGATGCTACTAGGGTTGACTTGGAAGAATTTTTGGGATGAAGGTACCGGTATGTGGTAATTTCATATGAGAGTAAGTGCTATGTTGATTTCCGGTACTACCTTATCTTGTATGATGCCTTATGAGGCTATGAGGCTTAGAGTTCTCCGGATGAGTTAATAGAACCTTTTTCGGATTTTACCCCGGTTAATGGTTTAAAGTTAGAAAAAAAAAAGAGGTTTGTGAAGAATATCCCTTACCTTGTTCCCCTAGGAATACTCTTGTTGACTTAGTGAAACTTGGCATGTTAAGCCTTGATGTGACTCTTAGTATGGATGGGTTGCATACTTGGTGTGTTTTTATTGATGATAGGGCTCGGATGGTTAGAAGAATATGGGGCCCTTGAGTGTGTACTAGTTATCACCTTGTTGAGTAGGATGACACTTGGGTACAATTTCTTCCTATTATGGATTTGGTGTTTGATTGTGTCATATAAGGGTGGTATGGCTAGATGTTGAGGACCATAGACTTTTGCAAAAATGGCAAGATGTGAGTTTGGTTATGTCTTTAGGAGTGCTTGGAAAAAGTTTTCTTGAGGGTTGTAGTGAGGGCTTCCTCCTAAGGAGGGGAT